TAGAATTTACAATGCCTTTTGCACACTCGATACACATTTTATCTAATTACACACGTGGAAAATCAATGTCAACAAACTAGTTTAGCAATTTCGACAGTGTTCGATACACAATACAAAATTAGTCCTTTTACAACGGCTGATATTTTAAATCAGAGAATTGTAAAATAATAAATTGACAATATTTACTCAAATGTCAACAAATAATTTTGTCTGGCACTCAATGCGCTGACGTCACAACTACACATTAGTCTGCTCCGGGCTGAATATAAACTACTGTATTTATTTTTTTCCATTACCATATAAAATACAATGTATATCATTGCCATCCTCAACGGTCTAACTGGCTGGTCGGGCCTTGGCTGGACCAATATTCTTGTCAAAAATGTCTGGTCCTTTATTATTTTCAAGTGGGGGAAAAACATAAAAAACCAAAAAAATACACATAAATAACAACATCGCTGATTAACAATTAGACACTTGTGTGGCCCCTTATGCAAGGCGCGGTATTTAATACACAAACATGACATACACAGGAAAATGCTGGAGAGGATCCAAGAAAAAAATCCATGGTGCATGCCCCCCGGTACACCTAGAACCACCAAATTGGCCGCACAAATCACAAAATCGTGACGATGCGCCTGTATATAACTAAAATGCCACAGTGTTTTTCCAGATTTTTAAAATAAGACTTATTTTCATGCCTATGTGTGCAAACATAGCACAATTAGATCTAATATATCTTTTTGCAACCATTAAAAAAATGGAGTCATCTATCTTCATTTACAGAAACTGAAATATCAAACTTGAAAAATACCTTAAAATTGCAAGGGCCAACGAAAATTCCAAATATACCGCAAATAAACAGTAACATATATGGCAGATTGCCAGTTACAAAATAAAATTCCATGATGATGCAGGTTAAAACATTATACATCCATTAAACAAAAAAAACAACAAGTATAATGGTGGAATCAAATTTAATGAGTACATTATGGTGGAATGATTTTAATAGGCCTGTCTGATTTCACCATTTTTTTTTTTACTTAATTGTGTTTGTTTTCTGCTTTCTGTCCTTGAAGTCATACAAATTTAATTAAACAGTCAAAAGTAAAAAGTAATTAAGAAGGAGTATCTAATTGTATTTATTTTGTTTTGCTTGTTATCCCGGCTACAGATTGTCCATGGACAGCCTTAAAATGACCATGGATATACATGGATATCCATGGAAAGAGCATGGAAATACATGGATAAGTCAAGTGAATGGACAGTGTCCATACTAACAAACATGGATAACATGGACGATGTCCATGGATAACATGTACAATGTCCAGGGAATATAAAAATGTTCATGGACATAGTACAAAAAAACTATGTCTAATGTGGACATTGTCCATGGTCAACTTCATTGCTCATACTTAGAAATTTTTATCAAAAGTGATTGGATGGATATGCAAAAAAAATCTAAGTGCCAAAACATGAAAAATGTTTAAAAAAATCATAACTGCCATTCTTAAAAAAATTATATGTTCATATTGGGTATCAAATTATTCAGCATGAAAAGAAGAAATCAAATATAGTAAGATCAAGTAGATTTTTTTTTTATTTTATTTTTTTTAAATTCCAAACTTCAGTTAAATGATAATATAGAAAAATATACTGTACCCTTATGCATACCATTTCAATTATATAAAAAGATAATCTACTCACTACTTGTAGACTTGTTTAGGTTTGTTTGTTTCTGTTTTTGTGGTTCATTATCATATATTACCCTAATTAAGTTAGAAAAATAAATACACAATTTAATAGAAACAATTTAAATTTAAGAACAAATGTAATTGTTATGCACTTATATTTCTTTATTTATTTTTGATAAATTAATTATTATTATGTATCTCTATTGAAGTATATATAATTTATATATTCATCCTGTGTAGATGTAACTTATGTATAGTGATTAATTTCTGGAACATTCAAATTAGCATCAGCCACAATGTAAACGTTTATGACCCCTCAAGTGGAACCTGCTGTTTTCATAACTACCATAGTTAAACTCACCTATCTGATATAAGAGAATAGAAAGAGGTAAAGCAGGTTTACAACATACTATATTACACTGTAGCTCCCAAGTAACTTAATACCCTTGCAGAACAAATCACAGGTCAGAACACTCCTTCCAGGCGGGTCATTTGAACAGAAGCATTGAAAGATAATGTTTATTAGTGCCTATACTGCTTAAAAGTTATAACTTGAAATATTATGTTGGAGCATTGGAAATTAGACCAAATGAGTTTAAACTGGACAAATTTACAAGAGTTTTCTGGAAATATGAACTTTTAAACATGTGTATTTCATGATTCAGTTAAAATGGAGGGAACTACATGTATATAACCATTTCTAACAGTAAGTACAAAATTAATGTATTTTTATTTTTTAACACTTATTATTTTAGTTTTTTCAAACTTTCTTTGCAAGTATACACTGTTTCAGTTATTGTATTTCTACATACATGTAACTTTTCAATATTAATAGTTAAGAAAATCTTTTTCATTTTTAAATAATGGCGGGAAATTTTAAATCAGAGATTACAATTTTCCATTCAAAATATTGGTGATTGATCAAGCAATGAATTTCCAAATTCACATTTAATAAAATTCATAATATGTCTTAATTGTAATTTCTTGTTACTCATGTACATATGTTTATTTTTTCAACATATTAGGTTGCAAACTTTCAAGTCTTGGAGTCACATGAGATGTTTCAACTCAAAGGATGTCAGATGTAAAAGTCATAAATGTACTGTTGAATACAGAATGCTTTCAAAACCATCCTGGTAATAATTTAGTTTGTTTTGTTGAAAAAGTCGAAGTAACATGTTTTCATATAAATGCATGTTATTTTTCAAAGTCTGAACAAAATGTTGTTCTTCATGTTTTATACATATATTATTGTTATACTGACTCCACTGAACAAATCTCAAACTTTCAGTGGTAATTAAGTACTTGTGAAGGATTGAGTAATTTAAACTGCCATAACATAAAAGTTGTCATTATATAAATATAGGAAAAGCAGGGAAATAATTGACACAAGTTTATCATAATGTTGATTTTGACCAAATATGAATCATTTTCATCAAAGAGCATGGTGTTTACTTGATAACTCTGTGCTGATATTCTGCAAAAATCATTTAATTGAAAGTTTTCCATCTTAACTTTTTTACCCTTTCATGTTTTTTATCAATCATGTTTAAACAATACTAATTATGTTGTAAAGGGCAACCTCGTTAATCGTTAATACAAATGGTGTTATGTTATGAATAAAGCTCAAAAATGCTACAAATGTTTTCAGTAATAAAATTGATAACAAAGAATCCAAAAGAACTGAAAAGGCCAATATTACATTTCAGGACCAACTGCAGATCAAGGTTATTGGCATAACAAGCTACAGTAAGATGGCCATTGTTCTATTCCGCTTTTTGTATAAAGAGGAGGAATATGCCGGAAAATCATTGACAGGGAAAGCATCCAAAAGTGGCGAAAAAAGGCCACCTGTTGACCAAGAAAAGTTGACAGGAATTTACGGTCAGTGTTTCTTTTTTTTTTTCTTTCTTGGTTATTTAAATTTCATTGAAAGTTTTTGAATTTCATTGGAAGTTTTTAACAGGGATTGAAAATTTTTTTCATAGCCAATCGTCTTGCAGGACAAGTGTCTTCAAATTGCTACTTGTCCATGTAGATAATTTGAATTGTTATATTCAAGGGTTAAGTATAAAACATTGATTTGTCAAGTCAATATTTATATAATTTGTTATGTTCTTTACAGATATCATCAAAAGGAATTTTCCGCATGTCACACCAGTGATGGTCAGGGAAAAGCTGCGTGACATTGTCAAGCCATCTCGTGCCAACAAAACAGTGGAACAATAAATATGTGTACAAAATAAACTGTGGCCGTTTTAGCCATTCAGAACAATATAAATGAGAACATTTGAGAACTTGTTTTACTTCATATATGGTGTAAATAAATCTTTAATGTGTCATAATTTTACAGCCTTGTCAATTCCAAATCATTGTTACACTAGTGCAACTCCCAAGTGAAAAAGATTGTGTGGGACCTTTTTTTTACAGACTTTTAAATAGGTATCTCAACACAAGTGTGATATCATGGACATTGACCATGGATGTCATAAAAGATTCCTCAAAATTGGTTTTGAACATGGATAGAATGGACATTGTCCATGGAAAGAATGGACATTGTCCATGGAAAGAATGGACATTGTCCATGGTAAGAATGGACATTTGACCTCACGAGACGAAGTCGAGTGAGGTTGCATAAGAAAGGTCACGTGATTATGGTATAATTTACGCAAACCCAGAAATCGTCAACGCACCAATGGTGTATCTGTTTTAACCTATAGCTCCGCACAGAAACACTTACTCCTTCGATCTTAATTTGCATAGCAGAAATGACGTAAAATGAGCTGTCAATCGAAATAACATGACGCTACTGTTTTAACCTATTGCTCCGCCCAGAAAAACTGAAAATTATACCATAGTCTGGGTATGGTATAATTTACGGTTATTGGAAATTATACTTGGAAGAATTTTACATAAGAAGCGCTGAAGAGCTATAGGTTAATGATTTGATAACACACATGCAGGAATCAGTAATACAACTGGTCTGCTAGTATTTACAAGTAGAGATATATGCAGGACAAGTACAAAATGGTAGAATGCTAATCCAGCAGGACCAGCGGAAATTTGCCAACGTAACCGGAAGCTAGAATTCTCATAATCAGTTTGTTTACTTTAAAAAATGAAAAATCGAAAACAAAGCTTGTTATATATAAAGTGTTATTATAAAAGTTATATATAAATTGCACACTTTATGCATTGTTGATTGGATATGGGTGTAACTAGATCGTGCTGGACAATGCTCTATAAAGTGCGTGATTTTTACATAACCTAAAACACAAGCTTTCCCATTAAATTTGTGTTAACAAACTGATTATGAAAATTTCTAGTGGTCAATTGCATCGGCGAGGTTCTATTGCATCTATTTGCATTTATTTTGAAAATCATTCCCAAAATGCAGGACGAGAAGCATATAGCATGCAGGGCGAGTAGAAATTTGAAGCTAGTTGTCCTGCAGGACAACAGCTCTAAAAAAAAATTTTGACATGTGCATCAGCTTAAAAGTATTTACAATTTATAAAATATAAAAATGTACATTATATCAGCAAAATATCAATTTCAATTGAATTTATAAAATGCTGTACCATTTTGTCAATTACTTTGGAAATATAGTCAGTTGTTTTTGTGTACATAAGATGCAGAAAAGTGTTCCTTTAAATGGTAATCATTGTAACATATATCTGTAGATATAAAATTTTAATATTGCCCTTAAATTAATGTTAATACTTCATCGCAACATATTAAGTATTTCAATATCTTTACAGGAATCAGGAAGTTCTGATGTGTTTAATTGCTGATATTGTGGCGAATTTTATAGAAGATGCTCAACTTTATGTGATGACAAGCAGGTACACTGAGGTGAAGGCATCATATGCTGTTGGACATTGTTCCTAAGTTTCGGCAAATTGCAAAGACATAGGTTAGTAAATTACATACCATACATGAAGTACATTATTAGCTGTCTGATAGTTTTACACACAACTTGACTGTGTCAAAGATGAAAAAAACCCACAAAGAAATAGTCAAGTACTAAAGATCTATGAAGAAAATCAAATAAGCTTACTCTGAATCAATATATTGCTTTATCATTTTAAATTAGCAGCGATATACAAAGTCATTGCACTTTGTGTGTTGAGAAATTAGCGCATGCATTATAATTTCAATCACATAGGAAAATCACTGATGAAAAAAAGAACATTGTAAGCATCTGCTGACTCCCTCCTGTTTCTGATAAATGTTGCTAGTACATAGTTCTTACTAATTCATCCCTGTCTAAATTCCACAATGCTTAAATACACAAAAATATTTGCTTACATGACTGTGTGAAAACAAAATAGCATCAACAAATAAATAAAATATCACTTTGCCATTGTTTAACAACACACATAAAATCTAGACACATTTTAACTCGCCTGAGTACAATGTCCTCAAGTTGAGCTTTTGTGATGGCCCATTGATCTTCGTCCATCGTCCGTCACATAGTGACATGGTGAGCTTTTTTGATAGCTTTTCATCCGCCGTCCGTCCGTTAACTTTTACTTTAAACAACATCTCCTCATAAGCTACTGAGCCAATTCATCCAATCTTCATAGGAATGTTCCTTTGGTAGTCAACTTTGAAAATTGTTCAAAGAATTTAATCCTGGCATTGATTTTCCTTATTTGTATATAGTAAAAACTTAAAAAAATCTTCTATTTGAAACGCTAAAGAGCTAGGGCTAAGATATTTAGTAAGGGTGTAACTTGCAGTATACCCTATGGTTTACACTCGGTACGGTTCACGGTACGGCAAATCACCTGTACGGTATGGTACTGCATTTGAAACCATTTTCAAGGGGAGCAATTATTTCAGTAAAATTGCTGAAGATGAATTTAAATCAGGGTTAGTGTCTTTTTAGTCAAAATAATAGAAGCATTTTGGATATAATCAGGAAACTGTCTTCTTTGACTGCTATTTCAGTGTGCTGAATTTATTTTTCTGACATTGTTATTTTTTAATAAGAAGATATTCGATAAGTATAAGAAGAGCTATTGCAGTCACCTGAGCATCGGCGTCCGCATCGTATAACCACTTATGTTAAAGTTTTTGTAACACCTCAAATATTTTCAAAGTCCATTGACATATGGCTTTGAAACTTTGCACACTTGTTCACCATCAGGACCCCAACCTGTAGACAGGAGGAGATAACTGTATCAAGCATTTTGACATAATTATTCCCCTTTTTAGCTCGACTATTCGCAGAATAATCGAGCTAATGCAGTCACCCATTTGTCGGCGTCGGCGTCCCTGTGGTTAAGTTTTTGTATGTTAGCTGGTATCTCAATAACTACTGAAGGGAATGGATTGAAACTTCACACACTTGTTCTCTGTGATTATCTAAGATGATTGGCACAAGTCCCATAACTCTGATTTGCTTTTTTACATAATTATGCCCCTTTTTTGACTTAGAAATTCTTGGTTAAGTTTTTGTATGTAAGCTGGTATCTCCATAACTACTGAAGGGAATGGATTGAAACTTCACACACTTGTTCTCTGTGATTATCTAAGATGATTGGCACAAGTCCCATAACTCTGATTTGCTTTTTTACATAATTATGCCCCCTTTTCGACTTAGAAATTCTTGGTTAAGTTTTTGTATGTAAGCTGGTATCTCCATAACTACTGAAGGGAATGGACTGAAACTTCACACACTTGTTCTCTGTGATTATCTAAGATGATTGGCACAAGTCCCATAACTCTGATTTGCTTTTTTACATAATTATGCCCCTTTTTCGACTTAGAAATTCTTGGTTAAGTTTTTGTATGTAAGCTGGTATCTCCATAACTACTGAAGGGAATGGATTGAAACTTCACACACTTGTTCTCTGTGATTATCTAAGATGATTGGCAAAAGTCCCATAACTCTGATTTGCTTTTTGACATAATTATGTCTCTTTTTCGACTTAGAAATTCTTGGTTTAGTTTGTACATGTAAGCTGGTATCTCCATACTACTGAAGGGAATGGACTGAAACTTCACACACTTGTTCTCTGTGATAATCTTAGATGATTGGCACAAGTCCCTTTACGCTGATTTGCTTTTATACATAATTATGCCCCTTTTCGACTTAGAAACTCTTGGTTAAGTTTTTGCATGTAAGTTGGTATCTCCATAACTACTGAAGGGAATTGATTGAAACTTCACACACTTGTTCTCTGTGATTATCTAAGATGATTGGCACAAGTCCCATAACTCTGATTTGCTTTTTTACATAATTATGCCCCCTTTTCGACTTAGAAATTCTTGGTTAAGTTTTTGTATGTAAGCTGGTATCTCCATAACTACTGAAGGGAATGGACTGAAACTTCACACACTTGTTCTCTGTGATTATCTAAGATGATTGGCACAAGTCCCATAACTCTGATTTGCTTTTTTACATAATTATGCCCCTTTTTCGACTTAGAAATTCTTGGTTAAGTTTTTGTATGTAAGCTGGTATCTCTATAACTACTGAAGGGAATGGATTGAAACTTCACACACTTGTTCTCTGTGATTATCTAAGATGATTGGCACAAGTCCCATAACTCTGATTTGCTTTTTTACATAATTATGCCCTTTTTCGACTTAGAAATTCTTGGTTAAGTTTTTGTGTGTAAGCTGGTATCTCCATAACTACTAAAGGGAATGTATTAAAACTTGAAGGGTTTGTACCTTTTCGGACAATTTTATGTATTCATATAGGTAAGCATTATTATACTCAATGAAACACCCTTGTGACAAATTTTCGAATAGTCGAGCGTTACTGTCCTCCGACAGTTCTTGTTCAACTTAAAATCTATATTAAAGTTTTTGTAATACCTCAAATATTTTCATAGTCCATTGACATATGGCTGTGAAACTTTGCACACTTGTTCACCATCATTGCCCCAACCTGTAAACAGGAGGAGGTAACTGTATCAAGCATTTTTTTCACCATCAAGCACTAAGAATAGTTGAGCGTTGCTGTCCTACCAACAGTTCTTGACGTATGGCTTTGAAACTTTGCACACTTGTTCACCATCATGACCCCAACCTGTAGACAGGGGTAGGTAACTGCATCAAGTATTTTGACAGAATTATGCCCCTTTTTCGACTTAAAATTTATGTTAAAGTTTTTGTAATACATCAAATATTTTCAAAGTCCATTGACATATGGCTTTGAAACTTTGCACACTTGTTCACCATCATGACCCTAACCTGTAGACAGGAGGAGGTAACTCTATCATGCATTTTGACTGAATAATGCTCCTTTTTCGACTTAAAATTTTCGTTAAAGTTTTTGTAATACCTCAAAAAAGAGTCCATTGACATATAGCTTTGAAACAAGATGAAATTTTATACTCTTTGAGAGCATAATAGGACTCTCTCCAAGGCCTATAACTGTAACATGGATTTAAAGAAA